GCATCTTGGGCACGCATGCATACGTGCCTGGCGTGAATTTAAGCCACCAGGTCTTAAATTGAACTGTGGTCAACTACATGGGAGTCCAGCAACATAGCCATTATGCCAACAGCTGGTCCCAATAAATGTAATTTATGACACTCCATCTGGGATGAACAGGAAGGAATTTATCCATTGGCTCCCATCTGCCATGTCAAAGGACAGGTCCAAGCGTGTTAATTCCCCTGCATTTCTGGTTACAAGATTGTCACTTTCTGCTTGGTCCTTCATCATCTTATGTCCCAGAGGCAACAGAGAAGTCCCAAGAGATAAAGGAAAGTACTGGCAGGTTGTATTTGAAATGCTAGGCCTCACAGCAAGGTGAGACTAGAGGCTCTGAGGTGATACCTAAAGATGTTTCAGACAGAGTGGTGATTCTGGGTCATTGGAGTTGAGAGAGTCTGCCAAACTGGAGACACCAATGTACACTCCCTCCAGCAGTATATGAGAGTCCTGGGTTGGCCCACGTGTTTGCCAGCACTGGGTGCTGAGTTTCATTTTATTTTATTTTTTGAGAGTTTTTTTCCTGTAGGGTGCATGTGCTTACTAGAGAAACAGAAAGCAGGAAATCACTCCCTGGGGGCAGAGGAGGGAGAGGCCGCACTGCAATCCCTTCTCATCCACTCTCCTCTCGGGATTTGGGGCATACACACAGGTACCCAGCGTGAGTTCCAAGTCACTGGAACCGGGACTCAAATATGGTTGGCTACGTAGGAGTCCAGTGCCTCAATCACTACACCAGCTACTGGCCCTGGGTACTGAGTTTTAGGTGTTCTGGTAGATGTGCTGTGGCATCTCATTCTGGTTAATTTGCATTGCCCTGATGACCTATGAGACTGAACAGCTGCTCACGAATTTATAAGACATTGGACACCCTCTTTCGTGGAGCACCTATTTCAAGTCTTCTTCCTACTGATTTGGCTTACATTTTTATACACAAGTCGTATTTTTAGAGTTTTATATGCAAGTTCCTTATGAGCCATATCTCACATGTGGCTTACTCTTACCTCTCAATCATGTTTTTTGATTAACAGAAGTTTCGAATTTTAATATAACCTAATCTGTCAGATTTTTACTGTTAGTGCTCTTTGTATTCTATTTAAGAAAAATTCATCTATCTTCTCCCCCAAGTCTGCTAACAGCTTGGTTATTCCACTTTTCACATGTACATTTCACATGTCTATCCACATAAGATTGTTTTAGGGCATGGTATAAGGTAGATATGAAGAGAGGCTTGTTTGATTTCCCCCCAATAAGGATACTCGATTGATCCACTACTATTCATGGAAAAGTCTGTCCTTTGTCCACTGCTCTTCAATGCGAACTTTGTCACATTAAACCAAGATGGGTCAGTTTCTACATTTTCTGTTTTGTTCCATTAGCAGATTTTCTTATCCTTGTACCAATACCACACTGTCTTCCTTACTATAGTATAAGCTCTCCAACATTATTCTTTATATACATATTAGAATTATAATAGTATGTAGTCTCATAATCCCTCCTCCCAAGAAAAGTCAAGTAAACAGCAGCCAAATGCTCTAGCACTTTGAGCTTCATTGGCTTTATAAATCATTCTGTAGATCAATTCGAAGAGAACTAACATCTTAAATTCCAATCCATGAACATGGTATAACCCTTCATTAACTTATATCATTAACAATTTCTCTCAGTGATGTTTTTTTGTTTCCTGTGTATAAATTGTATACATTGTTTACTAGATTTATTCATAGCTATTTGATTTTTTTAAAGAATTATTTCATTGTATTTATTATTGCTATTTTAAAAAGGTTTTGTTATAGGGCATGTGTGCTCACCAGAGAAAGAAAGTGAGAAAGTAAGCCACCAGGTCCAAGACTCAAACCACGGTTGACCATGGGGAAGTCCAACACCTTAATCACCATGTCACCTGCTGGCCCCACATATTTGATTTTTATGCTATTATAAATTTCAATTTCAGATTCTTATTGGTATATAGGAATACAATTAGTTTTTATGTATTGTACTTACATCCAGTGACTTTGCTAAATGAACTTATCAACCTTAAATTTACCTATAATTTTTTTACATACCCAATCATGTCATATGTGAGTGACAGTTTTATATGGTCCTTTCTTCTCTTTATATCTTTTTACTTCTTTTTCTTGCCTTATTGCACTGGCTAGGACCTCCAGTACAGTATCAGAATAGATGAGTGCCAATATCCTTTCTCATTTCCAGTCTCTGTAGAAAAGCATTCACTATTTCACCATTAAGCACATGTTAGCTGTAAGGTTTTTATTTGTTTATTTGTTGGGGATTTGATTTCAGGTAGACCTTTCATAGATTAAGGAAATTATCTTCTGTTTCTAATTTGCTAAGATTTTTTGTCTAATTCATGATGACTGTTTTATGCATCCATTAGGAATGTCCTCTGGTTTCCCTTTTTCTCTCTGCTAATGTGATGAATCACACTGATTGCTTTTTGGATGGAAACCAATCTTACTAACTTTTGTTCTAACTGAGCGCAGGTTCTAGTTCAATACGGCTAAAATAATCTATGAGCTATGAGCCTGAACAACAGCACACAAACCTTTGCAGGGTTCTAGACTCACCCTATCCCCTCATACACCTACCCTACAGTCCAGGTCTCAAGAGAGGCTTATCATCAAAAAAACGAGACTTGTAGTCTGTGAGGCCCATGCCACCCCCTGCACCTTCACAAACTTTGTGTACTACTCCTATCCGGAACCCTCAATCAGCAGACTTTCACGTGGCAAAGCCAGCTGGGTGAGCACGGTCAAACCAACAGGTTTAAGTCCAAGCCCCCTACCACCTGGGACAATGGAGAGTGATTGGAGCCAGGGAGCTCCCACCCCCACCCCACCCCACCCTGAGCGAGGTTCCTTTAAGAGAACCAGGCGCTGAACTCGTCTCTGGGGCCCGAGGCGGAGGGCGCCAAGAATGCCGGACTCCGACCACGGAGCGCGAGGGATGAAACTGCTCTGCTCTGGGTGGCCTCCCCTCCGCGTCCCCCCAGCACTTCCACCCAGAGTCCACCCACTCTTATTCCTAGCCTTAGGTCCCGACTTCC